GCCAACTTCGTTTCTTTTATTTCAATTTTTAGACATCAATCAGATGGGCTCATTCTGCTTCTCAAATAGACTAATGTTATGGCAAGGCTATGTTAGGTTCCAGTTTTCATACAAAATGCTATTAAATACTGTAAAAATGCCATGCATTTGATGTGCAATCAGGCATTTTATACACAAAATGCAACTTCACTAATATGTTATCAGGCAATATCTCAAGATGCAGTTGTGAAAATATCGCTTTTTTGATATCTGTGCATTTTCTAGATAAAATTTTATATCTAAAATGCCTGAGTGCGCGGTAACCATATAGGATTCTGACATTTCTTAGTACTATTTTATATGAGAACATGGTACTAAATACTGTCAAAATGCCATGTATTTGCTGTGCAATCAGACATTTTTACACAAAATGCAACTTCACTCATATGCTATCAAGCCGTATCTCAAAGATGCAGTTATGATAATATCGGTTTTTTGTCATTTGTGTGCTTTCTAGGTAAGGTTTTATATCTAAAACGCCTGACTGCACAGAAACCACAAAGGATTTTGACATTTTTTAGTACTATTTTATATTAAAACAGCTACATAACATATCCTTGTCATAACATTGATCTATTTTACGGCAGAATCGGCCCCAGAATTTAATAGTTCCATAGATGGAAAATCAATGTTATCATTACCATAATAATAATCCATGTTATAAGTGAAAAATATAGATTGTTGCTTCTATTATTTAAAAAACAGCAAAATAACCGTTTTGCGATACGTATCTAAATGCATATTGTGTCTATATTATTCACCAAGTATATTTGTGATAAATGTGTTTTGCATTAGTTTTTAATAAACAATAGACCCCAAACTCTTTACCAAAATTCGTTTATCCAAAATGGACTCCATCGCCATTTTCCCAATCCGCGATTAAAAAAGTTGCCCCTGTCTCTCGTGTATTTATCAACAGATTATTTTGCCTGTCATGAACACAGTTCTTATTTGGTAGGTGCAGTGTTGTATTGAAATTGACAAAAAGACACCGAACCGAATATTCCGAACACATCTGCCCCTACCTCGTCTAGGGGTTTATTAAAAGACCCCTCCGACGTGGAATAAAGTAGAGCGAAATACTACGGGGAGGAGAACTCGATACAGAGTACCTATATTATTAAAGAGCAGATAAGCCTATCATGTGCAGAGATTTTTTTTCACCAAGACCGGTTTTATAGTACATTATCACAGCTTTTTTGAACCACGGATCGGTTATAAGCTGATATTGCCATTGTATGTGATAGATATATCTATTATAAACAATACAAAAAAGCATCGCTCGATATTCATATTCCTATTCCTCGACATTTTTTAAATTGTCTTTCACTATCATTTATCTCGTTGGCGTTGATAATTTCCATTCTGCTTCGTACACTTATAACCTATAAAATTACAAGTTTAATATATTATGAAATAAATCAATGTTTTTATTTAAAAAGCGTCAGACAATAGTATTTATGTAAACCTGTCTTTCTGTTTTGAATGTAATCAATTTTAAAAAAGTATTTGTATCGTATCACAACTTATGCTCAACCCATGAACTGTAGAGAACGACTTACTGGACAAATTATTCATTCGAAGAGAGATGAAGTAGAAGATGACATATATAAATTTATAACATAAGTTTTGTTATTAATTAATATCAGAAACTTTTGTTTTCTTGGTTTGATATAAAGTTATTTTAAGAAAATCATGTTCGTGTTATATATATTTTGGTCAGGCCATTGTACGAGATAGCAAGGTTAATGTTAGCAAGTATCTTGGTATTTTTTTTATAAAAGAGTTCTAATAATAATTATAAATATATTTATAAATTATTAAGAGATTGTTCCATCCAAGTTCCCCAAACTGCAGTGTGATTAGTAATAGAGATGGTGCTTTTGAAATAATCGATTTTTGACAAATTTGTCCCGGAATATAAATTTTGTATTCACGTAATGTTCACTAGCTTTAATTTTAATGTTATCACCTAAATGACTCATTTTACATTCATATATTTATAAATTATTGAGAGATTCTGCTATCCAAACCTTCCAAACTGTAGTGTGATTAGTGATACAGATGGAGATTTTTAATTAATCGAATTTGGACAAATTTGTCCCGGAATATAAATTTCGGAATCATGTAATGTTCACTAGCTTTAATTGTTATGTCACTACTTATGACTCATTTTGCATTCATATATTTATAAATTATCGTGAGTTTGTTCCATCCAAGCCCCCAAACTATAGTGTGAATAGTGATACAAATGGTGTTTATCAACAAATTTTCACAGATTTGTCCCAAAATATAAAATTTTCATTTATGTAATGTTCACTAGCTTTAATTTCACTTTCTGTATGACTCATTTTGCATTCATATATTTATAAATTATTGTGAGTTTGTTCCATCCAAGACACCTAACTGTTGGAAACTATCAAATACTGCAGACTGATTCAAACAGTTGAAAATAGTCAGTTTTGATCAGTTTACGTAAGTTTTGCTGGCTTTGATGAAACCTTATGACAATTAAAGTAAATTCTTGTAATAAACAAAATTTTTGACTAAAACTTCCGGGATTTGCAAGGTAGATAGAGATTACACTATCTATTTGCAAGGTACTCTATCCTTCGTAGAGCCAACTTGGAACTTTATTGAATCGTGCAAAAATAAATATTAATGGGAGATTTCTGATTTAAACAAAAGATTTCTTTTACCATATAGTCGATAAAAATGTAAAAAAAATATTTTCTGCAAAAGTTTAGCAGATTTTGAGTAACTATCTTTTCCGTTCGTCGTCTACACCTAGCATGAATTCACCTATAGATGCAACCGCGTCGTTTCACTTACCGTGAAATTATTAATAAACGCAAATTGTGAATTATTGTTTAAATGAAACAGAACAGAAGAGAACAGAGCCACACATTCGCATATAAATATTGCAATGGTGTCGTAAATAACGAAGATCGTAGCTCTGACCTCTCGCCGTAATAAATATACAAATGTTGACATGCGAACGGTTCACGCATTTTAAAATACGAAACTCACTTTGCCTGCTCATCATTCCTTTTTATTTCCACTTGGAAATATATTGTAACATTGGTAAATAATATTACAATCGATGGGTTATTGAACAAATTCATTTGGTACTACGAATAGCGAAGCAATACCTATCTCCATTCTGATTTGCAAGAGGGACCTACATCAGGTTGAAATATTATAAAATAGCATAATAATTGAATATTTATTATTCGCAAAATTGAAAATGACGAGGTATCAACATTACTGACTAACTCATAAAAATTTCATAATTTTAGTGGTCTTAAAATTCGTTGAAATTTCTCTCACTCATTTTACCTGTGAAATCTGAGTTTTACCTTTTGCAATTTTTGTCTTATTATTTCTCTGTGTTTTATTTACAACTTCTTCCCCAAACAATTCTACTTATAAAAATATAATAAATGTTCCATATAAATGTACAAAAAAAATTTTTAAGCACTCATTTCATAAAAGTATCAGAATTACCTTTCAATTTCTATACTAAAATTTATTTTCTAATTTTTTTTTTTAATATTTTTAATGTTGGTTAATAAACTCTATATTTAACTCAATTTCAAATTTATTATGTAGATATTTCAACAAGAAAATTAGTGAAATTCTGGATTGCAATAAAACATTAAAAATACCATATAAAAAATAATTGAAATAAATTACATTTATTATTTTATATTGACTAAAAATACTAAAAATCACTATAAAGGAATAATAATAAAAATATGAACAATATGAACTTTAAATAGAAATATTACAAAAAAACCTCTAATTTAAATGCTCTATGTCTGATGGTATATACCTATAACTATAATGCTTTATCATTTCATGATTAATGCTATTAAAAACTGCAATTAGCACAAAAGCAATGAATAGTTTATTCTTAGCCAAAATCCAGAAAATTATTTATTTTTTGAACCTGGCTTTGGATTAATGTAAAAAGAGTGGGTTGTAGGAAATTTATACCACATTTTTATTTCTTAAACAATAAATATGGAATAATAATACTTATGACTCATACAAATACATTTATAAATATATATATATATATATATATATATATATATATATTATATAATATGTATAATAATATTTATAGGCGGCTAAAAGTCCTCGTGCATTTATCTCTTCCTTATATAGAAAAACCTGACAAGAAAACCATAAATTAGACTTCGGCTATAATTTTAATTTTATGTAGTTTTTTTATCCTAGATAATCCTCCCAATATATTATTATCAATATTACAATCTGATGACTAACGAAAAATCTACTAATGAAATAAAATAATCATGACTCTTATTTTAGTATAACGTATAGGTTTTTTAATACAGGTGTGTTGGTAATAACATATATAATATCTATATAGGTACATAGGTAAATGTCTAATCTGAATCGGTGTTTAATAAATACAAAACAAGATCTTTTTATCCTCAAGAAATTTAAAACCTGAACCGATCTTTCTTGACAAAGGTTTTGCGGTCTTGGAATTTGGTTACAGCGGAATTATAAGA